GAGAACATCATTTAACTACTGTGTTGTGTCCGCCTCTTGATATTTCGACGCTCTCAGAAGCCGTTCATGGTACGGTGACTAGCCTGGTATGCTCGTCGATTTTGCGGTGGGGTCCTTGACAACATATTTCATACACCTATATCAGAATTTATAAAAACCAACAGAGAACACCGCACCCTTATTATTGCTTTCCCACATCCATTTCGATTTCAACTTTCTCTATTATCTTTATTTTCTTTATGTATTTTTGTATAAAAAATCTATAAAAAAAAACCTATGTATACAAAAAAACCTACACCTGAGAATAGTAGCTTGTAAAATTTTTTTGCAATATATATACGATTTATATGTTTATATATGATTTATATACGGTTCGTCTTCAAAATTTACTATGATAAATTAATAATTATTACTCAAAAAAAAAATGAATTTATTTCACAACAGAAAATCCAAAATTCGTTTATAAGTAAAAAAAAAATAAAAATATTAATAATAAAAATTAAATAATGCAGTAAAAAAATTAATTAAAAAAATAAAAATAATTAATTACAATTTAAAAAAATATTTAAAAGTTAAAATGAAATTGCTGAAAATTAAAACATTAAATTGTATATATATAAAGTTTAACTTTAATTGAACTAAAGCCGTAATTTTCTCTTTCAGGGCAGAAAAAAAATAACATTAACTCTGGTTGATGTTGAATGCTTTTGTTTGATATATATTTTTTGTTGTGCTGTGTACAATATGATATGATACGAACGACTTGAATTTTGAAACATATTTTCAGTGAACATTCACAATAGACTAATTATTGCACTTGGTCGCATTAAAACTTTAGTCAAATATTTTTGCGATTAATATATAACTCTGAGGATTTTAAGAGCACTGTTGTTGCTTCACATTAGTGCTGTTCATATTCGAATTTACGAAGTATTCGAAGAAATTCGAATATTCGAATAGTAAACGAAGTCTTCGAAGTTGAAAAAAACTTCGAAGTTTTTGTGAATTTTTGTTCTCGAAGTCTTCGAAGTTTAAATGTAGTGAAAAACTTCGAAGACTTCGAAGACTTCGTAAGCAAAAGGTGAAGTGAGAGCGCACAATGCAAACAAACGTGCATCACACAAATTATTTGAGGGATGAAAGCGTTTGCTTTGTTTGTACGGTTTTATGTTTTTTGTTGTTATTCTATGCAGAAAATTATTGTTTTATTTTATTACATAAAATTTATTTTATTATTAAATATGTATTATAATATACATTATTATTAAATATGTTATTATTAAATATTTTTTATATTAAATAAAAAATTTACATTTTAAATAACTTATATTTATTATTTATATTTAAAAAATCATATTTGAGAAAAGTTAATGATTTTTTAATGAATTTTGAATTCATTAAAAATTAAAAATGTGTTCATTAAAAAATGCAATACATGAATAAATACTAAACACAATCGTTAAAAAAGCAAATGATAGCAAATTGTTATAAGACAATTGCAAGAAAAATAAAACAGTCTTAAATACTGTCCATTTAGCATTAACTAGTGATATTACAAGCTTGAAAATTATGTAAACGAATTTATTCATGATCTTGTATTGCCTAAATACCTTATTAAATTAAAACAATTACTGCATTCAATTTTACTATTCAACAAAATAAATTTACCTGAAATTTCTTTTTATCTATTTGTAGTTGCATGACGAGACCATTGGTTTTTTGCTGTGCTCATGGCAAGAAAGACATTCTCACATTTAACATTACTGTAAATTGAATATGCAAATACATAGTGACGAGAGAAAATTTGTTTTTCCATTTTTAGGTCTTAGTCATAAACGTCTCTATGTTAAAAGGGCAAAATGCGAACTCTGACAAAGGCATATAAAGATGGTATCAGTAGCGACGCTAGGCATCGGCGACCTCTATGGACCTCGCAAAAAGTTGTACATAATATGTACTAAAGTACTGCGTGCATGCACGCATTTGATTTCAGTTTCAAAGCATTCTATGTTATTGTGTTTAGAATGGTAGCATACTCTCACTCTCAACAAACGAATACGTATGAAATACGCGCACGGTTGCCACTTGAAAATTTTTTTCTGTACCAAAATTGGTTTAAAAAGGTACCATTTCTGTAAAAAAAGGTCCA